AGCCTGAATTTTGCCTGAAACTCTCAGACTGAAGAAGTCTCTTGGAGGAGAGACGAAACGTTTCATTAGAGAAGAACCCGTCCAGAAGACCTATACAAATATTTTCTTTTTGATTTTTTTACCTGGATTACTGAGATGCATCAGGACATGTTTACAGTTAAATTAAGCCATCTATAAGGGGAGTCTTATTGTAAAGTGGTACCAAAAAAAAAAACATACAATAGATCCTAACCTACTGTTTAGCTGCAGCTCAGCCAAAAGCTTCCATCTGTTTATGCTATACAGACACATGCATTGTCAAAAGAATGCTGTGGGTTTTTTCTCTTTTTTTTCCTCGGAGTGCCATGTTTTCCTCTTAACTCAACCCAAGGAAAGATGATAACTGCGTCTGATCAAGAGATCACTGTTGTGGTGTCTGGATGACTGGGCCATATGTGTCCTGCCAGCCGTGTGCCGCCTGTGTCCTTCTCAGCGCAGCCACAGGGGCCGCTCATACTTATCTGCATAATGAAATTACCCACAGTAAGGTCTTTCCACGGATGAATCAACTTCTCCACTTCTGGGGCAATCACCGAAACTGCTATTATTGCTAACCTTTGCCTCTATAACTGGACTGGATCTGCTGGGGAATAGAGCCGAGTGGACTCATACTGATCCCGTTATAACCTTTAAAAGCTGCATAAATAAGCAAAAGACACTTAGCCGACTGCTCCTGACGTTTAGCCTCTCTTGTATATTTTGCTTTTCATGCATAATAATTTAYCTTACTTATTCAGCCAGACGTGATTTTCTTGGAAGCGAATCTGAAACAACGTAATTGACTTTGAATCTGAAAAAAGGTTTCGTCTGGTCGGTTATAATTACAGAGTGTCTCATGCATATGCTAATTTTAATGGCACACGCAGATTTACTGAAGATGGATACTTGGTGTACCGAAGARTAATTACAGGATAGCACAATAATTCAGATGAACACACTATATTTCCTGAATTTGGCCCACTGTGAGTCTCAGCGGTGTCGTTGCACCAGTGAGACGGGCCGTGCGCGTCCGAATGATTTGATAGTGCCCTTAAACCGGTGTGTCAGTTTATGAGAGAGTGTGTTTTTACACTAATCTCAGCTGTTTTCCAAGTGTAACAGTTGTACCTCTGATCCAAGAGTCTGTGATGAGAAGCACAGCTGATCTGAGCTGATGCATTCAGCAGAGAACTGAAGAGTCAAAGGATCCGCTAAACCCGACCTCGGCTCTCTTCTGCTTGATCCCTCTGCTTTCTGTGTCTGGAAAAGACAGATGAGGGTTAACTATACATAAAAGTCTTGAAGATGTTAACGGATTGTGTGTGTTTTGATGTCATGTCGTTGCGTTCATCTAGAATTACACAGCTGCCTAATATGAGTTTCTGGTTCTACGGTGGTTAGACACATGTTTGAATCAGCAAATATGTCTGCAGCTGACCCAGAAACCAGACAAAATAGAAAAAAATGAAAAAATAAAACATGCTTGAATACCGCTCTGTCTTTGACTRACTACTAGTAAATCACAAACAAGCCTGAATTCATAAAACACACCATAAAACATGAGGATTTGATGTGTCATGATAGGAATCCCATAAATTTTACAATACATTTCATCCTAATC